AAATGGCAGTACTCGGAGCCACACAGGCTAGAACACAAGACAGCGAATGATGTCTTGACAGCTCTAATTTCAGGCTGAGTGCTGTCCCCTCATTCACTTTTCTATGGCCAGACTGACCAAAACGAATTATCCAGGTTACTTTAATGAAGAATAAAGCTAAGACTTTTTTTCCTCAAACTGCAAATAAAGTATTGAAGTGTTTTATTCCCTTGTCAAAATTTTTACATGTGATCTGAGAAATGGCCAACTCACTTTCCAGGATAAAATGACACCATTTATCAAGGATTGAAGGTTCAATTTTAAGCACTACCAAGTGATTGATATGTAATATCTTGGACACGAAGAGACATGTTGGCTTTCACACCTGCTTTCTAACCTCAAGACAGAATTGCCAGGCAATGCAAGGCACTCCAACACTCCACCTACCAGGAAGCAGAATCGCACATAATAGCAGCCTTAGAGAAGGGATACTGGCTGGGAAATGAGTCGGTGAGAAAGGCACCAACAGCATAAATTCTAAATTCCCACCAACTCACAGGCTACCAGCAGGCAAGTGGCTTAATCTCTCATTGTTTGGGATCCCTTGACCATTGACTTTTTCATTTTCATTAGTTCTCTGTTCAACCTGAACATGTATTTTACTGGGTGCTTCTCCATTCTGGTGCTAGAGCACAATTTCATCTTCAATAAAATAATGCCCACATCCACTCTGTTCTCAACCCCAGCTCTCCAGACATAACCTACCTCAGTGCCTTTTCACTCCTTTTGGCCAGAAAAGCAGTTCAGCTAAAAATGCCAATTAAAAATCTTATCCGTTTTCCAAAGGACAGTTACAACAGCGACCTCTCCTCTTGGGAAGTATTTAAAGAAATGTTCTCAAGGTCCTGAAACCTCAAGACTCTGTACTCTCTGACCCTTTCTGTTTTACTCTCTAATTGGTTTTATTGCTTTATGTGTTTTTTTCTGCCCTAAATGGAAACTACAAAAAGGTAAAAAGGATATCTTGCTCATGTACATATCCAACCCCACCAATTCTTAAACACATGTACACTCAAACTACTGAGCTAACCTCAGGTGTTTATCCTCTCTTGTCCTAGGTTCATGGTGCTACATTAATTTTCCCCAAGGTAAAAAAGCTAATTTTTTTTAAAAAAGAGAAATTCACCTGAGTAAGAAGCAAAATCTTTTTTAATACACATCTCAGTTTTCATAAATGTGCTCAGTTATTATGCTGACCACACAAGCACTGTCAGAAACAGTAAAGTTAAAAAGCTGTGAAAGCATTTCCTGGCATGGATGTTTTAAGAGATTTCAATCTGTGCAAGTCCTAAAAGAGATACAGGACTTTCCACAAAGCAACTCTCAGGACATCTCCTCACAGTGAAATATGAGGAAAATACCAAAACAAACCATATGCAGTCTTTCATACTGGTATCTACACAGATATGAAGCAATTCAAATTATGAATTACAGCTTTTATTCATTAATTACATAAAGGAAGGGAACATCCTCAAAACCCAGTGAGACAGTCTTCAAGCTTATCCTGCATAAGTTTTCTTTGGTGTTACTGGGAATCAAATCCAGGGTCTCGCTTATGCTGGGCTGCTGTCTATCGCTGAGCCTACATCCCCAGACCAGCTTTCATCAAACAAGTTTTTAAAGCAATAGTCTTAGGCTATATTATACTTAGATCATTCAGATATTTAGGTAACTTTTCATACTTAAGCTCAACTAGAAATCTTTCACTATTTCTTTTGTTTCATGATGTTATGTTACACCATTATTATCTTAACAAAACTATGTACAGTTTTCACATACTGTGCATTAATTCAGAATTCGTACTTTTATTTCAAAAGCAAATAGACCGCTGACCGTGTAAAACAGGTCCAGGTTGTTCATTTTATTATCATTAATGTCATTCATGAGTGAGGACAGCTTCAAACAGTTCCTGGAAAAGTACAAACTGGAATGTGGCTGGTTTTATTTTAATACTGTAGTTTGATCATTTATGTTCATGTCAAAGGGAAAAACACGATTATGAATAAAAAAAACTGAGATTCACTGTTCTGTAACATATACCAGTGCTCTCCACGGCACTTGGATATTTTCATCCATTCATGCAATGTTGAGCTTACCAGTTTGTATTATAAAGTACCTATAAATTAAAAACACTGTTATTTCAGAAAAAAACTTTAAATTATGTTTAATACTAATTTTTTACTGGTTCATTTGACAACAAATATTAAGCATCTACCTGAGACTGGGCAATTTTTTTGACGAGGAGATTGCAGTAAACAAAAGCAATGTAGATGACTGTCCCTATGGAGCTTATACGGAATAAATAAATTTTCTAGTATATGAGCCCTGTAAAAAAAAACAAAGCAATCAAGGAGCAGGACATGGGGGAAATAGTTGTAATCTTAAATAATTTTCTGCCTAAATACAAAGGAGACATTACAGCAAGAATTTGAAGCCTGGCATGCCTGTCATTCCAAATACTGGGGAAAGTCGGTAAAGGCAGAGGACTGTAAATTCAAGACCAGCCTGAGTACAAACCAAGTTCAAGGTGAACCTGGGCTACACAGTGAGACTGTGTATCAAACACACACACACAAGGGCTGTGGCTCAAGTAGAAAAGTACTTGCTAAGCAAGTGCAAGACTGAGACCAATCCCCAGTACCAAAAACAAAACAAAAAAAGAACTTGCAAGAGTTAAGGACCAGGCCACAATGCTCTGTGGGGAAAAAGTATTTTAAGAAGAATGAAGAGCAAATGCTCTTGCAAAAAGAATCTTGCTTTTTATTACTTTTACATTTAATAGAACAATAGAAAGTAGTTCCCCTATTTTGTTGCCTGTCAGGTTATATTTTTCTATTTGAGGTTCAGGGGAGATGGAGTACAATGATTTTATAAGAGACTTTAGCCAACCATGAAATCTGGATTATGCTTTTATGGACTATGAGTCAAATTTGTCCTACCACCTGTGTTTATAAATAAAATTTTATTGGAAGTCAGCCCCATTCATTGGTTTACACAATGAATGAACTAAGTTGAATAGTTGCAATAGAAAGCATGTGGCTATAAAGCTTAAAATGTTGACTATCTGACCCTTTCTAGGGTCAGCTTTCTTGCTGGCATATACTCTATGGAATTCAGAAGCCATTTCAACTGTGTAACTTGCACCCATCATTCATGTGACCATGAGTGAAACAACACTCAGCAAACTCCGTAAGGAATGAGGAGGCATCACTTTGCCTAATTGGTGAGTATCCTAAAGAACCTCAAAATTAGGAAAGGAAAGATTTTAAATTCTACATAGAACCTAATAAATAATGTTTTGTAGACAATTACATGTATTTCAAGTCATAGCAATACAATCACATAGAAGAGTTTTTAATGTTCTTGGTGGAAAAAGTAAATCATTTGCTTTCCTATCTCCATTCATACTCTGGTAATCAGGAGAAAACTTTTAAGCCAGGATACATTTTCCTTAAACCAGAAAAATAAAACCTGAGAAAACTTACAGCATCTAACCTTAGGCATGTTCAGCTTAGAAAGGATGGAAAATCAACGTTTTCACAAAATAGAAGGAAAATGTTCCAATTGTCCAAGAGGTGGCCAAAAATGGACAAGCTTTCTTAATGTGCCTGCAGCATAAACACAACAAAACTATAGAGAATAAACCACCACCAGCATCCTTGAAGGAACCCCCAGCAGGGTGCGCTGTACTAAGTTGGCTGACTTTCTGTGATGCTTTGAGATACTACTTGGGTCTCCCTCAACACTTAAATTTTACAGAAATGCAGATTTGAGAATATTCAAGCTCACACCTTCACTACACCAGTATGTAATGCTTTACTGCTGACTCACAGTTTTGATGCTTAAATGTGCTTTTGCCAATAATGATGGAAAACACATAAAGCACCCTACTTCATCATCACAATGTAGTCAGAAAAGAAGGACACGAAACAATGCAATCTAAGCAGCACACTACTTCCAGTGAATTCAAAATCTAGCTTTATAAGAAGACACAAACATATAAACCACTAACCATGAAATTACTGACCATAAAACTTGTGAATATTTTATTTTTTAAGAAATATAATTCCTACTCCTACTAGTCATCATATGCTTTTCTCTGTAATTCTAAAATTATTTTAGACTAAACAAGTCTTTGTAGAAATGAACTATATTTTCCAGGGAATAGAAGAGAAAGTCAGCAAAGTGTAGGAACTCACCAAATTAAGATACTTCAATGTGAGAATTTTAATCCCAAATTAATTTGATAATTCATAAAGAACATTTCAAGTAAATACTTCAAGGAAAATTTAAAAATCAGGTTTAAGAAAACAATTCTAACTCAATAATCCTTCTCCAAAGATTTCTCAGTTCAATAAACACAATGCATAAGGGACAGACGTTTCCTTGTAAACATGTGAAATGATAAATCTACTTTAAAAGTATAATATCCAAGGGACTCAAATTTTCTGAGAAACATATAAAAATCAGAACAATAAATCAATAACAGTGAAGATCTAAATCTAACAATGATGTAATTTTCCCAAACTACAATAAGCCTTGTATTCTCAAACAAAACACTGTTATAATATGAGCAAAATCCAAACAGTGTGGGCTGTTAATGTTAACTTAGTCAGTATTGTTTTTCTTTGCTACAAAGTGGGATGCAGCATAGTACGTTTTGATGTGATGTTAGAAACCAACACTAAGAACTTAAATGTGTGAGGTCTTAACTTTCAGTTTTGTTATTCAGAACCTTAATACACTGTGGCACTGAGCACATCTTCTTTATGTCTAACAGATAACATTTTCAAATGTGTACTGAGAATCCCATAAAAATTCCATGGATGAGAAGGTGTGTGTGAGGGGGGCAGGGATTGAGATGAGATCGATATAGAATCCTGCCAGGTTTAAAAACAGATAAACTTGAATTTTTCAAAATATGCTACTTATGAAATAAAAACAAATGAATAAATACATACCCTTGGGGAGACAGTTTGTCTAGCCATCCAGATTTAACCTTCATTGCAGAAGATCCATAAAAACAGGCATAGGGAGAGATAGCGTTGGAGGAAGTGGTTAATGAGTCAGCATTTCCACTTGTTGCGCTTAAAGGATAACTGTGCCTATTTACCGGATCCAAATTCAATGTTTTCTGAGTCCTAGATTTAGATGCCTTTGAATTTTTTCTTCTTAAACTCTGAAAGCATTCTTCTACTGTTGAGTATTCTGATTCAGAAGCAGAGTCTCTTACAAGATTGTTTACACCTTCTCGAGGTATCCAAATATCTTCCACTTTGTCTTCACTTACTTTCTCCCTCCTGTTATCATAGACGCTAAATAGAAAGAAATGATATTACTGAAAAACTATTTTTTTCACTGGTAAATAACAAATCATAGAAACTTAAGGCCAGGGGAAATCTCAGACTTCAGTTATCCAATCTGACAATTTTTTAAACCAGAAAAACTAATAGGAATCTTTAATTGTCCAATGATACACTAGAACACTACTAAAAGTTTTCCATATAACTTGCTTTGGTTCCTTTTCAGGAGGCTGAGTGCAGACAGTAAGGATGGAGACTGACCACAGTTTTTGCATTACAATTTAAATATCGTCACAAATACAATTAGATGTCCAAACCAATCTCAACAAATCTCTCATCATCAGCTCTCATCATAAACCACTAACTCATCTGTTTGGAACTATTATTTCCAACTCACTGATTCAAGGACTCCATGTTCCACTATGATGTAGTAAAAGAGAGAGTAATCTGACTGCTCAGAACTTCAGTGCTATGTTGCAATGCTAATGAGGAAAATGCTGTACCCACAGGGCTAGCAAACAAAAAGAAAAAGTCAGTGTGTATTCAGAAGATAAAAGCTACATAAGGAGCTAGTTAAGATGGAATGTATTCATCTTAACTAAGCATATTCCTATAGATTTAAGGAAGGACTTAATAAATTCACTCAGTGGGTAACTTATATAAAATAATACTCAAGGAAGTTTTTGCTAATACATGAAATTAATATGCCCAGAGTCAAATAACATCCTTCTGGTTACAGTGTCCTCCTAAACACTGAGATTTTCTTAAAGAATGATTTAACCTAGTCCTTCCACATTTTGTATTATAGTAGATTCATATCAAATGCTTACTGAAGATACTCATTATTTAGTTTTAATTTAAGGAAACTCACAACAGCATTAGGCTCAGAAAATGAAACAAATGGAAAATAAAATAAGTATTAGATAATGACTCAGTTTACCAAGAAGTCTCAATAAAATTTAAGTCAGTAACTGTAAATTCTGCTTAATTTTGTTTGTGATTCAAATAACAGAGTAATCGTCCAATGTTCTCTCAAAGACGAACCTCTCACAGAAAGTACACATCACATTTGTAAGCTTCTACAGCTCAATACCATTTTACACTGCCTTTATCTCCTTTAACTTAATATAACTTCCCATCTTTAAGAGGCAATCACAACCACCACATATTTGCCAGGTTGGGCAAAGGGAATGATTGTAGGTAGGAGAAGGCAAAAAATAATCAAATATCACTACCTACTCAATATATAAACTATAATTCAGTTATTAAAATGGGTCTCTGAAAGGAAAGCCTTGAAATTGCCCAGGTAAACTATTTTCTTTGGAATACAATATAATTCCATGAACAAAAAGTACATATTTTAAAATAAGAATTTATTCTAAAGAATGAATCATCGCTAGTCATGATGTCATACCTTGATTGGATTAAAAAAGAGTTCCTTGCAGTGGATGCTTCCCCTTGAAGTGTTTCTTCTTTGGTCCAAAATTCGTTCTTTATAGATCTCTTCTATTAAAAAAAAGAAAAACTTTCATTGTTTTGCCCTTTGGGGATGTTTTAGTGAGGCAGTATTTTTTAAAGATCTTTAATATCTGAGTTTAGTTTTATTAAATGTTTAATTTCTTAGGTTAGCTTTCATTAAAAAATAATTTAATTAGATAGTCTTCATTAAGCAACAATCTTTGATGCCTTTTTCACTATTATATTTAAATCATCAACTCGTTTCAACTTAGAAAAGAGGATGACAAGAAGAAAACTCATGTACTTTTACTCCCCAGCTATATGTTTTACTTGTAGCTTATAGTAAACTTATATGGTTACTTCTCTTTATGAATACCAAGAAATAAAACAGCAAAAGAGTAAAAACACTAGAAAGGAAAGCCTGAGTAATAAACTAAATAATTAAAATGTATAAACAATCAGAAGCCTGAGCACTTAGGAACTCTGCATTGGGGACAAGGCAAAGCAAAACCTAGAGAGTTTTTTGTGTTCTATGTCCTTTTTTTTCTTTAATACAGTAAGTTCACCTTGTGGCAAAATTTTAAAATTTACTATCCTACATTCCTAAAATCAAAGTGAAAATGTGTTTTTATGATAAATATTTAATGATGTAGGCTTATCATAATTTTACTGAACAGAAATTTTACTATCTAGAAATCTCATTCCTCAATATAATGCATTCTTCAAATAGCTTACAGAAAAATGAAAAAGTACATATAATCAGAAGGGTGAAGAATTGATTATGGAAAAAGAAAATAAAATGTATGGGACTAACCTTAGAGTTTTCTAGTTTCTGGAAGAGAAACGTCTCTCCATAAGGAAAAATGGAACATGAGTTCTCTTCATTTGAATCTTTTGGGGGAGATTACAGAATGAGAATGGAGAAAATGAATAATGTGAAGATCGGGGGAAATGAAATAAAACCATATATGTAATTACTTTATAGCAATATCACAATTTAAGCTTCATCTTCTCAGGATCAAAAATTATGTGCACAATTCTAACCCCCTAAATCAACTCTCCCCGTGGTGTTCTTAACACACCACTCATTGTACACATTCCTCATTTCACAACTATGACCCTAATTCTTAAATCATAACCTGTGACCTATCCTCCTGATGACTTCTAAGATCCACACTAATACAACCAAGAACATTCCCAGGTAGAACTGAGATTGCCATGTGCCATATAACACTAATTCCTAAATAAGAGAATGTTCTAAATGGCAAGGTCTCAATTCTAATGTTCAATAACAGGTCATTAACATAACAGCCAGGTGTCACTGAGAAATCTCAGAATCCATTTAATATAAGCCCTGTAACACCACAGCTACTAACATTCCTGCAAATAAATTATTTCAAGAAAACTTCCACCATCCTTGAACTACATTTACACTTATCTCCAAGAAAGAACTCTCAGTACTTGCATTTCTGAAAGGGCAAACTTTTTCAAAGGTAGGGTGGCCAATCATTTGCCATTTTACTGTCAGGAAGAATGTTCCTGAACTTGTTTAAGAATTTTCAAAAAGAAAGAAAAGTCTCTGCCAATGATGCATTTACCAGAACAATATCAGTCCTTTCCCGTTACCATGGCAAAAGCACTTTCTATGCATCTCTGTCCTATAGCTCAGACTGCCAGAAACCATTTATTTTAGTTAAATGCCCTCAACTGTGACTAATGATAAATGAAGCTTGTATAAAAAATTCTTTTCTTTACACATGTACAAACTTCTAGGAGTGTGAGTATGTATTACTGTCTTTTATTCACTCACTTTTAAAGATTCAGAAGTACTATGAACACAGGCTGACAAATATTCCCGTGATTCCCACTCCACAAGTGGCTGCCCTCTCAATCACAATTTTAACACATTTTCAAGACTATCAAATTAGTAGGAACTACTTTATAGAGAACTTAAACACAAAGACTCACTTTTCAGTGTCACAGACTTTTCAGTTGAGGTAGTAACATTTCTTCTCTCACGGAAATAGCTTAAAAAAAGAGGGAAGAATTACGAGTTACTGCATGCTGTCTTAAGAAAAGGGTTTATTATAGAAACACACATTCTTTGGGTAGAAACACCAATGGACAAAATAAGTCTGATCTGAAACAAGCAGAATGGCTAAATTCCACAATGTGTGCTTTTTTTATCTCTCTCCTTTCTTTAGTTTTCTTTGTAGCATGTATTCTTCTACCTAGCATTAAACAAGAGATTTCACTGCGTTTTATAAGGATTTGTTTCTTATATCTATAATTCACAAAAGTCAATGTATTTGTCCAATGTTAGCATGTAAATTATTTCAAAACTGCTATCATACTTCTGAAACAAATTTACTAATGAGATTTCAGTATTTACATAGTTTTTGTCATTAACTTTATAATAGTCAATAAAAATGCGTCTGATTCTATAAAAATAATATAAAAATACAACCCCACAACCTGTTTTCAACTACCTCACAGATTGGGGAGACTAATATTACAAACATTTAATAGTAATATAAAATAACTGCAATGAAAAGGTGACTACTGTGGGAGCAGAGGGTCACAGTGCCTACTCCTATATGAGAGTTCTATTTCTCCACCAACAGGGAAGGATCCGAATACCCTTCACTTCTCTTAGATATGTATCTGCCCAAGTAATTAGAAGCTGGGAAACAATAAAGGTAAGAATAAAAATCAGTGACAAAGAGTATGGACAAAATTTTAAGCTCAATATACCAAAATTAGGTCTTTAAAAAAATCCATAAAATTGACAGACTTCAGTGAAGGAAAAAGTAAGAGACAAAAGATAAATATAACCAAAGTCATAAATGGAAGAGAGCACATCACTACAAACACTAAGAATATTAATGGCATAATTGTGATTTATTAAGGAAAAATTATGAAGTTAGGTCAAAAACTTAGAAGAAATGGATAAATTCCTTAAGAAACTCAAACGATCACATCTGACAGGATTAAATAGAAAATCTAAATAGCCCTATATTTTTTAGAAAAGAGAACTTGGTAATTAATCACCTACCCATAAAAATACTCCAGGCCCAGATACTCCACTGGTAAAAGCCGAGAAATTTAAAGAAGAAATGACATTGACTCTATGTAATCGGGGTTGGGGAGAAACAGTGGAGGAGAAAATATTTCCCTACTCATTTTATAAAGCCAATATGACTGACAACTAACCAGTCAAAAATATAATTATAGATAAATATTCCTCAGAACATAGATGTAAAGTCATCAACAAAATATTAGCAAATCAAATTCAACAATATATAAAAAGGATAAGATAATAGGACCAGGTGAGATTTATCCCCAAGAAACCAATATTGGTTTAACACTGGAAAAAAAAATATAACTCACCACATTAACAAAATTTAAAAAAAGTAGCTTGTTTATGACAATAGAACAAGAAAATTAAATTGACAAAACTCAACATTCATTCATAAAAAGATTCTCAGCAAACTAGAAATAGGAGAAAACTTCCTTATCAAAAAGGGCATTATGAAAACTCTACATTATAAATAATAATTACAGATGGTTCCCTTAGATTTCCAGCCAGGGAAAAGATCGCACTTACCACGTATGTTCACGTTTACTTAGAGGTCTCAGCCCAGGCAATAAAACAAGTAAAAGAAATAAAAGCCACACAACTTGAAAGGAAGTTACCTTGAAAGGAGAAAGTATCTTACATTTTCTGTTTGTTCTGTTTTGTTCTGTTTTGAATATGTAGCCCAGGTCAAAAGCCTTGAACCCACTATGTGGCCCAGGCAAGCTTACTACTCACTACGTACCCCAGGTTGTCTTGGAACTTGTAATTCTCTTACATCACCCTCCAGAGTGCTGGGATTATAGCATGTGCTACCATGACTGGCAGAGGTACCTTCTAAGTAAAAAAAATTTAAAGACTGCCAAAAAGCTTCTTAAACTGATAAGTCTAGCAAGAGTCCAAGATAAAGAGCAAATAGAAGTAAATCTAATACTATTTCTATAAACTAGCAATGTACAACTGGAAAAAATAATTTGAAAATACAATTATTTTTACAATAAATAAAGGCACCGGTGGCTCATGCCTGCAATTCTAGAACTCAAGAAGCAGAGATCAGGAGGATCACAGTTTGAAGCCAGCCAGGGGAAAGAGTTCATAAGACCCTATCTCGAAAATACCTTAGACAAAAATTGGGCTGGTGGCATGGCTCAAGGTGTAAGGCCCTGAGTTCAAGCCCCAGTACTGAAAAAAAATAATAATAATACAAAAGCATGAAACACTAAAATGGTAAATTTATCAAAATATGAACAAGACCTATATACTGAAAACTATAAAGCATTACTGAGAAAAAAAATTAAAGAAGTCCTAAACAAATGGACAGATATACTATGTTCATGAACTGGAAGACTCAGCATTACTAAGATGTCAATCTCTCTCTCTCTCTCTCTCTCTCTCTCACTCTCGCTCTCTCATTCTCTCTTTCTTGCTCTCTCTCCATACATACATATATTTTTTTTCTATACAATCCTGAACAATAATCTAGTGGGCTTTTTAATAAAAATTTAAAAGGTGACTAACTTTTCATGCAACTACAAATGGCCTAGAGTGGTCAAAATAAATTTTAAACAGAAAAACAAAATTGGAAGATATATACTGTATAATTTCAATACTTCCTCCAAAACTAAAGTGATTAACTCAGTTTGCCATGAATGAAAGGATATTTAAATCAACTGGAGAAAACAAACAGTCCATGTATTTATTGTCCCAAACATCTATGGCCCACTGATTTTTTTAAAAAAAAAAATTCCAAAGCAATCGTGTGGAGAAAGGATAGTCTTTTCTACAAATATTAGTGGAACTGCATATGGCCATGGAATAAAAGATGCTAATATCACACTTTACTTCCTACTATACATAAAAATGAACTCAAAATGGAATTTAGATCTAATGTCAATGCTGAAACCCTAAAAATTCTGGAAAACAAGGGGGAAAAAAATCATTGTAATTTTGGAGTACAGAAAGATTTCTTAAATAAGATACAAAAACCAAAACCCATAAAAGAAAAATATTGAAAAGTGGACCTTCCTCACTAAAATGTAAAATGTTTAATGTCACCTGTTTCTGATAAGTGACTTGTCCATATCATAAAAAATAACTCTAATAAACAAGTAATAAGAACTGCAATTTTAAAGTGAACAAAAATGTGAAGGGGACTTTACAAAAGATATATGAGGGGGCAGTGGGGAGAAATGAACCAATCCTTGTATGCACATATGAATAATAAAAGAAAATGAAAAAAAAAAAAGATATATGAGTATGTGATAGCATACTCATCACAGTTGCTTAAATGAGGCTGTGGATAACAAGAGTTGGAAAATGTATAGAAAAATTTGAATATTTAAATATTTCTGACAGAATGTACAGGGGTATATTTACCTTAGAAAACTGCTTGGCAGTTTCAGATTAAAATAATTATAAAACTTAATTATTCCAATCCTAGAAACCGAAAATAACTAAAATACACACCCTCAGAAAGACCTATACATAAATCCTCATAGTAGCTTTAGTCTCAAAAATCCAAAACTTGAGATAACAAAATGGTCATCAAAAGGTAAATGATAAACAAATGGAGGTAAATGGATTCAAGAGAATACTACCCAGCTTTAAAAACAAATAGAAAGTAACTGCTAACAAGAAACAAATTAGCAATAAACATAATAGTATGAATGAATCTCAAAACTGTGATGCTGAGCACAAGGAAGTACATCCTACACAACTCTAGACAGCATGTGAAGGAGGGACACATGGTGAAAAGACACTAAAAAATTCTTAGGTGTAATAGGATTGCTCTGTTCTTAATGGTAGTAAAAATTTTATGGGTTAATATATATCCTGCACAAGTCATAAATTATATGCCTTAGAGCTTATAACATGTTTTACAAGATTTCAACTATGAAACTATAAAACATCACTGAGAAAATCATAGAAAATCTAGCTAAATACAGGAATATACCACAGACTAAATACTACAAAGCTGACAACATCCCCATATTAATCTGTAGATCAACGCAATCCCAAGTAAAAGAAGTGTGTGTGTTTGTGTATGTAATTAACAAGCTGAACCTAAAATGTGTATGAAAAACAAAGGACCGAAAGCAACTACGACATTTTTTAAAGATAGTTAGGAGACATACTCTATGAGATATTAGGATTTATTACAAAGCTATAGTAATTAAGATATTACTGATGAAATGATAGGTAAGACACTGGTGAGATACAATAGAGTCCATAAAGAGACTTCATTGTCACTTAACACAAAAATGTTATTCTATAGCAATGAGTAAAGCATGGTCTTTTCAGTCAATAGATCACTTGTATATCTACATGGCAGAAAGTGAAATTTTACTCCTCCCTCAGACCAAACATAGAAATGAATTCAAGGTGATTTTAAAGTCCAGTGTAAGAGGCCAACGAATAAACCTGGAACATAAACCATTTTCATGTGTCTGAAGGCAGTTCTAACTCTAACGGGAAAAACTGGTAAATTTGACTAAATTATTAAAATTAAGAAGCATTACTGTTAGAAACTCATTACTGAACTGAAAAGCAATATGCAGACAGAGAAGACGATATATTGGGCAAGGGCTCAAAGCCGTAATATATTAATAACTATTAAAAATCATTATTAAAGACATAAAATTCAATCAAAACCACCACTGAAAAGACACCAAATGGGTAAAAGATCTGAAAAGTTATCACATCAAAGAAGATAAAAACATGGGCAGTGGCCAGCAAGCACATCAAAACCTATTTTACTGCATTAGTCATTAGAAAATGCAAATTAAACCACAATGAAATACCAATTTATTACATGGTTACCTTTTTAAAAAAATAATCAAATACTGAGAGTATGAAACAAGAGTGTACACAGACTGCTGGTGGCAATATGAAGTAGTTTAATTACTCTGTGAGAACCATTGTGCATTATCTACCAAAGTAGAAGGCACACAT